AGGTCACAATTTTCACGCTCTATCGGTGCCGAGTCTATTTCTGACCTGACTGGAAAATCCAAGCGACCCCTTCGTACTTTTTCGAACACTTCTTCTTCGCCAGTGTCACGTTCACCGCCACAGTCACCGTTAACTAAGAAATTTTCATTTTTTCTGACATCGCTTTCATCTTGAAGATGCGTGAAGCCCCCAAAAGCTGTGGTGCCATTTGAAACACTTGAGTTTTCCGAACAACTCTGAAAATCCCTCATGTAATTTTTGGGGTCCAAATTAATTACTTTTTCTTGTTCTCCTTGTGTTGTGGAGTGGAACTGCTCTCGCGTCTTCTCGATAATCTCATCATCTGAATCGTCCGAGTCTGGAAAAAGTAACAGATAAGATATGTGAAATTTTACGTGCAAATTCATTTTTGGTTAAATTCGAATTAACTACTACTTACCGAAGTGGAAATGGTTAGTGATGGATATTTACCAAACCGCGAGGCGGAGAGGTAAACATCTACCGCTAGCCACCGACACCCCAGATTTCCGTTAAACATTTACTCCTCGGTAACTCGAACCCTCTCGAAGTCCGTCGCGCGAGTAGAAAAAATAAGTGAAAGAAAAAAGAAAAGAAGATGTTGGCGCGCCGCGCGGAACTGTGGGAGTACTTTTCGTCCGTTTAACTCCCTGGGTTCCGTGTGGTGCGCTATCGTTGATTTTTTTTTGCTCGTAGTTTAGGTGATTAGCGAGGAGAGTTTTTGTGTTCACGATGGGGCCTAAAGTGACGTGAAAATACGTGACTAGCTTTGTCTATGCGATCAGTCACACTCTAGTCATGTGGTACGTCAAAATACTCGTCACGTGGTCAACTTATACTTTGAAATAAACCCTGCATTAATTTGAAAGGAATTATTTCATGAGGATTTGCCATTCCAATGTTTTTTTTTCCAATTCAACTCCGTTTTTTAGGCCGTCCTGGAGTCAAAGTTTGTCTTCAGTCGTCGTGTTGTTACAGGCAGCAGCAGTAACATGACTCTCATCAAATGCTGGCCGGACTCTTGTAGAAGCACACGACTAAAACGGCCACTTGATCACGAAGCGCGAACGAAAAGGTAAGTTTAAATCGATGGAGTAAAATCAGAGACATACATCCATGTTAGAGAACGGTTACGCTTGCGGTTATTTCCACAAAATCCTGTAATCAAACTTTGGTGCTCATACTTATCTGCTTTGCAGCCAGATTTAGTTAAGGAAAATCTTTTTGCATTTAGACGCCGTTCGTTCCTCGAGTTTCAATGGCAATTTTGAGAGCAAGACGAAAAGTTCTTTTCTCACAATTTCACGAAATGATGTTATGAAACTAAATTTGGTGTTGGGTTGGATGACAGTTGCTATATTTTTTTTTAAACGAAAACAGAGAAGGCTCGTAAATTTTGTCACTTTTAATTTACGGTTTCTCGCGTCCATGCACGTGTCTTGCTTTAACAGTTCTTGAATATTCTACCGGCATGACTCTCTGAGCAGCAATCGAGCAGCTCTCTTTGATTATTTATGTCTTTGATTTTATTTCTTCGTTGAGAAATTAAGATAATTTTGCAAAAGACAAAAAATCATACGAAAAAAACAAACAAACAAACGAACAAAACTAAAAAAACGAAGGCTGCGAAATGAAAGAACATTTTGCGTAACACAATTGACCATTCGCCATTTCATTCCCCTTTCGTTTGTTCGGTTTTGTTTCGAGTCATTAAACATTCGTTCTTTGTAGTTTTCGTTTACTTTCGAGTGGCTTAGCTATGGTTTATATTTTGCTTACTCCACAGATTAGTGAATCTTCCAAAACAAACAAAACAAACAAACAAAACAAATTAAAATTAAAAATTGGCAAATTAAATTCTTCTAAACGCTGTAGTAAACAGCCAGGTTACCAAGCATTATTCAATATGGTGGAGAGAAATATAGTAATTCATTGTGAGCACTAGCTAGTTTCCACAATTTTAAAAAATATAGGATATAATTTATACGCTGAAGAAGTCGTTAGATTGATGCAATTCATTCCGTATCGATTTTCCAAAAAACAGAAACATAAGGAAAAAGTAATTATGTTGCGAAACAGCACTCATCGCTAATCGCTACTAAATATTTGAAACGAAACAATTAAGCTTATTCGATTGCTCTCAGCAATTCTCAGAGGCTATTGCGGCTCGATAAATAGAGTCAAGCTGGCAACCAACTTCCGTTTAAGAAGCATAAAGTAATAAATTCATCTCTTAAAAAGCGAGGAAAGTCATGCATTGCTCTCGTATTGCCAATGCAACTGAATGTTACCATATTGAAATATTTGGAGGCTGATCAACACAAATCAGTTCGCTTTATCCAAAATCTGACACAATGCATCAAAATAAAACAAGAAAACAACTTCACGATTAAGTACCGTATAAATGAATAAACGGCACATCCGAAAGCATGATGTGTCCTTTCTTCCGCTGGAGCGGCACGATAACGAAATATTTGTTGGATTAGATAGCAAATGTTAATTTTAATACGCACCATCTGATCGAGGATAGGTTCTCTCTGATGTGATACTTTTTTCCACCATCGTTGCTGTCTTTGCGTCTCTTGGCCCTTTTTAACGTTCTTGCTTTGTGTCTCACTTGGTTCTGCGAGTGAAATGTATGTTTTGTAAGACAGAACTAATGCGCGAGTCGCTTTTGTTTGGTGTGACTAGTTTCCGGTAATAACAGGAAGTGTTTGTGATCAGGGCGTTCACTTCCTATTGTGTGACACATGGCGTCACTAAAGTAGTATTTCCTATTCACACCTTTCATTATTTAGTTAAGCTTTCTTGAGTGTTTTGTGCGGTGTTACGCTAAAAGACTGTAACACTGCCATTCCGCAGATTGCTTTATAACGAAAAAGTTTGTGTCATAAATGTAAAGCATAATAACAAAAGATAAAATTCCGAGTCAACAACTACTTTAAAAAGTGTTTCAATGAAATAACAACATAGTACAGTATCACCTGATTCAAAACACGATGTTATGATGATAAAAGTAACGAATACAGATCAGTTGCATAACAATGTTTTTTATTTTGTTCTCAATGCCTAATATGAAAAAACTGTCTAGTGACCACATCTTCCAATAATATCTCTAGTCACGTAATCAACATTTGATCATGGAATCTGGCGATGAGTTTGTGCATGCTTTAATCTGTAATAAACGCTCATTCAGGCCATTGGTCGCTCTCTGTTGTTGCATGCAACCTTGCGGTGAGTCCTAATCGATGAAACATGCAATCTTCTCTTTTCTACATTCGCTCGCTTTCCAGTTACACGATTTTCGTTCTCTCCTTCTAATATTTAGCTCGCAGTGCAGGAGACAAATGGTTGAAACAGACTATTCATCGCAAGGTCATGATTGCATGTGTCGATGTTTCTCGGGTTCATGTGGACGGATTTTAAACTGGATAAGTGACACTCGACCGTACATACCCCCAAAAGATCCTGAGGCGAGGAGATGGTACGAACGTGGGAAATGCTCGCGGTTTAACCTCATGTTTCCGTTTTTAACTTTGCTTCTGGCTATAGTGGATACGGCAATGGATGTGAGAGTGGCGGTGTCTCATTATCGCCGTGGTGACGACATCTGGGCTTCGCTCACGCTCGCCTTTGTAATAATTTCGGTTGTCATTATCGAAATAGTGTCTGCGAACTGGTATTTGGAGGATGAAAAGGGTTATAAGAAGGAAATCCTTAAGAAACACGGATTGGAAATAAAAAAGTGGCATTATTTGTGTCATTTTATCCTGTGTGGAACTCTCTTAAGGTAGGGACAGTTTAGTATAGCTGCCTTAACTCGTAATGTTTCTTGACCATCCTTCTGTGTTTTAGTTTTATAGAAGCAAATATTTACCTGTTTAACTCGATCTGCAGTTAGTACAAACCCCAAATTTAAAGTAACATTCTGTAAGTCTATAGGCTTTTCTTAGGATAAGTTTATAGTATTTAGAATGATGTAATATCGCATAAAATTGTGTAATAATCACTTTACACAGGAGATAGATCCATTGTCATATGACACGAGCTGGTTTTGCAAGGTCATCTGCCGGTTCTTAGAGAATATTTTGAAAGTCATATACCGTAACACTAACCCTGAGCGAAAAATTTATCCAGTAGGGTAAAGAAAGAAACACACCATAACTCAAACTTCACGCTTTTTCACACATAAATTCGTCCATATCTTGTGTGATGTGACTTGCGTAACTGGACGCAAGTTACTTTACTATCTAACAGAGCGCTAGACACAAATTGTTAAATTCATTTATTTTTATCATCGGCTACTGCAGATGACAGACCTGACAGATTCGTTGTGCTGTGTTCTTGGACTAGACACTCGACTCACACAATA